GGGCGGGGGCGGGCGCCGCTGCTGACAGCTGGGCGGGGCGAGGCGCTTGCGCGGGCCCCCGCGACGATGGAAGGCAAGGGGTGGTTCTCACCGCGAGCTTCGTCGTAACCGCGTAAAAGTGGCCTGTTGTGATCGCTTGCCCCTCGTTGGTAGGACCGTGGTGCGCTGCACGCGTCCTGAAAATATGGAAATAAGGTTTCAAACTGGCGCACTAGAACTACAGGGTGGCCGCTCTGGACCGTAGTAGTTTTGAAAAGGTAGACTAGCCCGCTCACTGCCGGAGCGGGGAGGTGGGAGGGGACGGGAGAGGTAGGTGCGGTCGGGCTAGTCCACCTTTTTAAAACTACGGGGCAGAGCGGTCACCCTGGAGAGCGCCTGTTTCGGTGGTTGGCTTTGTCTTGTGCCCGTCAGTAATTTCACTTCCATAGAGAGCTATGTAAGCTGTTTCTTTTAGCTGTGCTAAGCGGTACACAGGTATGCGTACAGGTTGCCTACTCGCACGGATCCGAGAGCGACTCCCCGGTCGCTCAACTTAACGCTGCGCACTTTTACCACGCGGGGTTGCAGCGCCCCACCCCCCGCCGATCGCGGGTTAGTTTGCCCTGGTTCAAGATGCCTTTAATCAAAGCCCGCGTGAGGAGGGAGTTTCGACAGAAACTATGGGCTCTATGGGCAAATCATAACACTCCATCCATCTACACGTTCGGTGAACCCAAACAAGCGAGTTGCTATCTACGGGAGGAAGGGTCACAGGAAACCTCTCTGATTTTGCCCATTCCCAATCAAGACTCTCATTTGCATTAGCGAAAACTACATGAGGGATCGTCTAGGAAGTAAATCCGTTTTCCTCATATTTATTCGGGAAATTTCGGTAGCACGGCGCCTGCGAGGCTCAGGGTAGGCCACCCCGCCGCACACGCGTGCACTGCGGGCGAGATGTTGCCTACCTACAAGGCGCTATGAGCGCTCGCAAGTTTCTCTGAAGGAAATGCCGTGAGGCCTATGGGCAACGGCTCACCAAACTGTGTAAAAATGCATATGTGACAGTATTTGGACTTCAATAAAATAATTTAAAAACTGAACTGACTTGGCAGTCTCGCAACGGCGTACTTTCTGGATGATCCCTAAAAACAATGTGACGCAACAACATTTTATGGAGTTGTAATTTTATATAATGCCTCGGATGTCTTGCTAACTACGACAGTAAACTGCACTATACTCCACTTCCATTTTGGCCGCGTACGGGGGTGCGTTTCTCGGTACGAAGGATCGTCACTGTCTGCCCGCGCCGCCCACGCCACCCTCCGCCACGACCCCTGCCGCCGCTGGGGCCGCATCAGCGGAGGGGGGTGGGGGTGGGGCCAAGTGGGCCACGTTATAACTCCCTCTCGGGATTACTCTAGCCGCCTCCCCAGTGGCGGGGCGGGGCGGGGCGGGGCGAGGAGTGGCGGGGAGGGTCGGAGCGCGAGTGGAGGGATCAGATCAGCAGCCACCGGCTAGCGGCCCTTCAGCCGTAAAGTACGGCGCTCTACTGCCGGGGTGTGGCGTGGCGGGCCGTGCCGTCTTGTAACTTAATGATGCGACCAATGTTTTGAAAAATCACCCCCTCCCCTCCTCACCTCCTGCTGCTGCTGCTGCTGTGCGGACCTCGCCTCCCCCTCGCCCCGCACCGCGCCTCTCTCTGCTTGGCGCATTATTTTGAGATGGCCAGCTGTGTCTGGATGGTGTTTCTGCTCGCGTTCTAATTCGATGGCGATTTTACGCGCTGGCGGGGGAGCTGTCGCGCCCGTCGTGTCGTGTCGTGCCCGCGGTGTTGACGGACTGAATGCTCCCCATGGATGCAGCCCCGCCCTCTCCCGCCTGGTGTTGGCAGGACACGCACGAGTTGCAAATTACCTTGGGCATTAAGCTGGGTCGTTTGAGGTACTTACTTAACCGCCCGAGCGAATTGTGGCGGCCGGCATATTACTCGAGAAAAAGAAACAACGCCCTTTCCTTTATTTACAGAGGTTGGCCCACTGGCCCACAGTTTCCCCGGGGAATTTCTTAGTGATACTGTACCGCATGCAGGCGTGGGGACGCGTTGCCTACTCGCAAGGCGACGTGGTGGTTCACGACAACGGAAGGGAAGCCCACCGTACAGCATAACTAACCCAGAAAGTACATCCGCCATTTGCCTTTACGGGACGGGACTGCCCGGTTCAGCCAATGGAAGCTCTCATAGCGCCTGACCGGTAGGCAATATCTTGCATGAAGTGCACGCGTGCATTGCTGGGTGGCCTACCCTGAACTTCGCAGGCGCTGAACTCCTGTAATTTGTCCCACAAATCTGAGTAAAGCGGACGTGATTTCTGGACAATCCCTAAGAACCTATCCGGGCTATGTTACGGAGTACACAGTATACACGAAGTACAAAGACGCCAACATTTTGACGACCAAAGAGGCCAACATTTTGGCGACCAAAGACGCCAAACTTTGGTCTTGTTTGTATCCGGCGTCTTTGAACGCCAAATTTCGGCGTCCAGGAGAGAACGCCAGTATTGTGGCCTCGAAAGATGCCAACCAGTATTCAGTGGGGCCCTAGGGTTTGTCAATGGAAAACCCTTGTCGATTTCTTGTCATGGATCTAGCCTGCCTGGCCATGTCCTTATTGTTCATATGTCGGCAGTCGTTGGCTGTGCGGTAACTTAATCAGGATTTCGTGACAAAGATGGAGCGACCAGCCTCCAGCCTTGGTTGGACCAGGCAGGCACTACCTGTTGAACGTGCCGGGCTCCAGATCAGCTGCACGCGCGCCGAATACTACCTGGAAATCAATTGCCGGCTCGCGAGAGCCGCCGACGGGAAGCATCGGCCAGCGCCGCGGGCGGCGCCCGGCGGCCGCGGATAACTACTAGTCATGATGGGCCTAATCTACTCCCTGGAGCTTCTGGGAGCGCCCGGGAGCGCCTGGGAGCGAGGAAACCCCAAGGCGCGTCTTTAATGCCACCGCTCTCACCGGCCTCACGGTTGGTTAATAAGGAGACCAAAATATGGTGGACCGTAAAACAGGGTAATATGCACTTAGTGTTGTTCCTGACAATGCTGGCGACAGCTCACTGGTTGCGCAAGTCAAAGCAGAAGCGGGACATAGGAATAAGAGGGTGGTCCCACATTACCCCGTATGGTCCATATTAGCCTGTTTTACGGTATGTATTTATTTTCCCGAAATACTCTGGGCACACTTTATTGTATGCAGAGGTGTTGGCGTCCCTTTAAATATGAATACCTAATGTTCGACTTCTTTTCGAGAATTCGGTGGTTTTGACATGCTAAATTTTGGCATACAAAGAGACCATGAATTGTCATTCTTCAGAGAAATGGAAGGAGGAATAGGATATTCCAATAACACCGGCTGCAAGTGCCTTTCTATATCGCCTCACATTTTTAGGCACTGACAACTATAAGACCACTTCACAAGCAAGAATTCAGGAATAGGGTTCAGCTTCTTCCTCCTTTCCATCGGTCCTCCATTGGAAGAGGATAGAAATACCCTATTCCAGAGATCTTGCATTTAAAGCGGTCTCATAGTTTTCAGTGCCTACAAATGTGGGAGAGCACTTGCGGCATGTGTTATTGTGACAGATTGTGACGATATGACACGTTTAACGCCACATCGCCACAATACGTCTCCAAGACTGACACTGGGACGTCAATAAGAGACCATTGACACATCAGCGCCAAAATAACAAGTAGTCTTCGATAAAAATTACACCATCTTAAGAACAAGTTCGTTTTGGTCGGTTTTGGTACTTTACAGCAGCACGTCACTTACCGCGACCCCGTCGTCGTGGACCTGGCGGGCAGCCGGCGCGTCAGAAGAGCGAGAAGGCCTCCACCACGGCGAGCAGCTCCATCATCCTGGCGACGTCGTGTCCCACCCGAGACTGATGACAAAAGGGTGTGGGTGGGTGGGGCTGGGCGCGCTCAGGCTGAGCTGGTGCGGTATCTCCCCGCGCCGCGCGCTGCCACCTCTCGGACCTCCGCTCGGCCCGGCCGGGACAGAACACTGGCAATGTATCAGCTCTGCGCTCGGCTTTGGCGTGCCGACTGCTGTGTTTTGTCGGGTTCGCGCCCGCGCTGCCTGCGCCCGCCGGGCGAACACACCACACACGGGCACTGACTGACTGACTCTTTCGCAGGTCCGGCTCCACCGGCCCCCCTCTCACTTCTCTCTCTCTTCCCTTCTCCTGGCCGAGGCCGGCTGTGCGGTGTGTATACGCGGTAACATCACCTCCAAGACGGCAGGACCCATGGCGCTACCCCGCGTGCCCCCGCCGCCCGGCTCGCCCATCTCTGGACGACGCCCGTGGGGTATGTCCGCGCGAGGTTGTGGGTGAGTGCTTTTGTCGCGGAGAGTACACTTTGCAGGATCTGGCGAGGCCTGCCCCCCCCCTCCACCCACTACTAATGCCTCGCATCCTGTGCGCGATTAGTGTTTAATCTTGTGATGAATGATTTTTGCGGAAGCAGTAAATATAGAAGAAACGGGCTTCTATTATACGGATTAGGGAGGAGTGAACAAGCAGTCGTAATAATCCTTTTTGAAGTTGAAGTTGAAGCATGTTGTCCTCGGAAGGCGGTTCAGCACAGAGCTTTCGAACCTCCGTCCCTGTCGCACCCATCGGACTCATGGGGCACTGGACCTGGGCGAGCCTTGCGGAGCCAACTCGTTGCCTTATCGCCCACGAGCGACACGTCATTCATCGCTCCTCCTGGTCTGGTTCCTCCCCGCAGGTGAGTTAGTTCGGCCCGAGCCAGAGCTGCCATAATTCGGGCCCATTGAGGTCAGTAGCCGCGCAGGCAATGCGGACAGCAGTTCGGTTTTGTTTGACTAACGGCGGCGCGTTGTACACAAAGCTGCTCAAGTTGCTACGGTGCGCTCGCAGGCGAGGCCCGCGGCAG